TGCCGCCGTGGCGGTGTCCCCGCGTGTGTACGTGTTCTGTGCGAGGGTCTTGTCCCCACGGCCTGCGAGCCGCACGCGTGGATCCCTGGCACGTCCCTAACACCCCCACACACCCCCCAAGGTTTCCTCAGGGCAGGGGTCTGTCCCTCCGTGTGCGTGGGGATGTGTGTGCCCCCACGGCGGGAGATGCTCCCACACCAGTCCCTGGGGCAGACTGGCCTTCGTGTGCCCGGCCGCGGTCCCAGTGTCCTTGCACGCAGGCACGCTTTGGGGATCCGTGTGTGGCTCTGGGGGGTCCCTGTGACCCTGCACTGGGGAGGAGCCCCTCTGGGCAGGAGTCTCCTCAGCAGGTGAGGAGAGGGTGTCCTTGTGTCCTTACACACGTGCGTGTCCCTGATGCCTGGTGTGCGTGCCTGGGGGGAGAGGGTGTCCCTGTGTCCTTGGATGTCTGGATCCTGGGGCCACCCTCCAAGCACACAGGGGTGTCTGTGGGATGGGGGTGTCCCCACATCCCTGCGTGGGTGGGGAGAATCCCCCAGGCGTGTTTCCATCTTCAGGAGCCCCACGACCCACCTTCGTTTTGGCATGCAGGCGGCTCAGCCGTTGCCTCATGCTCCCTTGTGATCTGTCGAGCCAGGCAGCGTTCACAGCGCTGGGTCGTGGTGATTCCTCGCAGAGCTGCCAAAGGAAGGAATCACCAGGTGCCCCTCGGAAGGCCCGGAGGGCTCAGAGCCATTGGAAACCGGTTCTTATTTCTGCACTTTGAAGGGTCTCAGGGTCTGGTATCAACGTCGAGCTGAAATCTAGCAGCGTTTTTGTTTAAACCTAATACCTGTCTTACATGCAGTGTTGGAGGGAGTTTGTACGTGAGCTGGTTGCTCCAGGAGGAGGGCGCTGCGATTTATAGCAAGCAGAACTGTGGTAACTCCAGCTCAGGTGTCGCTTGTTGGACTTCTTGTTATAACCAGCAATATTCTTCATCACAAACAGGCCTGGAGCCACTGTGAGGATCCTATCACTCACCGTAATTAATAGCGTTGTTAAATTGGATGCAGCCCTCGTCAGGGCAGGCCAAAAAGCACGCACAAGGCAGCAAGCGGGCAGGAGACAGGGTGAGCTCGAGAGCTGGCCGTACCTGCTGAGCCACATGCCATGTGTTAGCAGGTTCCCAGAGGGGATAAGAAAGCTCGGTTTGTCAAAAGTTTCTCGTCTCGCAGTTCGGCGCTCAGTGCCATTGGCTCGCAGGTACGGGCTGAAAGCGTGGGCAGTCCTGAGCTTCGGCTGGCTCGCTCTGCTGGTGCTTGGCTTGGTCCAGGACGGCAAGAAGGCTTTTCTCCTGAACCATCCATGGACGCTGTTCCCACTTCAAGTGGCATGCCACATCTGGGTGAGTGGAAGGGCGGGAAGGGGAAGTGCTGGACAGGGAAACAGCTGAGGAAATGACAGAGTAAAGAGAAAGTGGGAAGAAACAAGTCGCAGCTGGACTGTGCTAAAGGGGCGTTCTCCACTCTCTGCTGTATCCAAGTTCTCGGCGAAGTCCTGAGAGCAACAGCGTGAAGTGTTGGTGTTCCCATCTCTAGACAGCCTTTTAATTGGAGTGAGTGAAATAATGAAAATGGAATTGCTATTCAAGGCTTTTAATTCTAGAGTGAACGTTAATGAAATGGCAGAAGCATGCATCTGGCCTGCTACTGCTGCTTTCAGCGTTTTGAAGGAGGATTTTTCTGGCTCTGATCTTGGCAAGTTACCGCTGTACTGCTGAATGAATCACTGCCTAAAGCAGATGTGCCGTGGCTGTGACCAAGTAAATCTGCTTTGAGCTTTAGACTTGGAAGATGTTTTCCAAAAGCATCTGGGCTCTAAAATAAAATACTGTCAGGCTAAAGAAACCTCACTCAAATACTAAGCAGCTGCTACTCTAATGACAGTTCCTTTCCCAAAAGGCTTTATAGTAAAATGTAGTGAGATTTGTTCAGTCGTGCCCTTGATGTATTTTTTTTTCCCCTATTTCATATCTTTCGTTTTGCTAGAACTGAAAGGCAAAGTGGAACTCAAGGTTTAAGGCTTTCATGGAAGCAGGCTGTTTGGGAACTGATGTGAAGGAGGAAAGCATGTTGGAGGAAAGCATTAATCCATTCACTTTTTGTTTTGAATTGTGACTGCGTGGGGTGTGTGCGATGTAGTTTTTACCACGTAGTCAGTGCATTGCTCTTGGTAAGTGCTGGAGAGTGGTGGCTGCTTACTTTCCCACGGCCCAGCCGTAGCAGACGCCTGACTGAGGGTGTGGAAGGGAAACATTCTCACTTGCCTTGCAGCTGGGATTTGTTTGGTCTGGTTCTCCTTGCTGCTGTGCCTAGCCACGTGCAGCAGTCCGGGGTAGAAGTGAATTAATTCAGTAAGATAGTTCCGTCCTTGCATTCTTTTTAAAGTAGTGTGGCGGCGTGGCTTTTAGCCGGGTAAAATACTGCTTTTAAAAATGCATCATATTCTGCCAAGGAGCATCTGTCAGCAGAGAAGTTGTTGTGGGAAATGAGCATCAGCACTTAGTGTCAGCAGTACCTGGTTTTACCACACAAAAAGTTTAGCGAAATTAGTGTTAGCTACAGCAATCACAATCTGAGTATTGTCCCAGTCCAAAAACACTTTAAAGTAGCTTTGGAGTGGAAACCAGTCTGCTCTCTGTTTATAAACTGGTATCGTGGGCACATGACACACACATGCATGCACAAACCCATCTGCCGGGACAGCCTGCCGCTGAATTCCCATCCCCGCGTTGTCACACCGTGTCTCCTGGGCTCAGGGAATGGAGCGCAAAGGTCAGTCCCTGCTGCCAGCACCGGAGACAAAGTGGAAAGAGGGCCAAAGTGCAGCAGAGCTCCAGCCCTGAGCCCGTGTCACGGGGCTGCGGGGAGGGGGAAGCACCTGCTGGTGAGGTGCAGGCTGAATTTGTTCTCCCTGTACTACATTTTCTGCTGCCTTGGTGCTGGGAATGGGAATGTTTCATCCCTGAACGTTTTAGGAGCGTTGAGCAGTAAACCCCCCCCACAACGGCTGTGTCCCAGCTGGTGGATGTGCCTATGGTGCTTAAGAAGTAACGCTTTTACTAGGTTTCAGACTTAAAGCAGCTTTGGCGGGGATTCAGCCTAGGTCTGCGTTAGAGGATCCTCTCGGTCAAGATCAAGGTCACCTGAATAGAACTGAGATTCATTGGTGTAGAGGGATCTTCAGGCCAAATGCAATTTCTCAGCAGAAAAAGGAGATCTGAGATTTCTGAGTCAGAAAAACCAGCGTTTCACTTGTGGACAGAACTTGTACATACTGTGGTCTGAGTTTTCAGAGTGCTTCGAAACAAGGCAAGCTTGTCTAGGTGCTTCCATGTGTAATTAGTAGAGATGGATCGAGTGTTTTGTTGCTAGATGGAGGCGAGAATAAATATTTTGTGTGCTCTTGTGGCTCGCCAGATGTACAGCCTGTCACCCGTGAAGTAATACTTGGGGTGGCACCATTCACTGGCACAAAAGTGTGTTTTTACAGAAATATTTCTAGGGCAGTTATGTTTGATTTGTGGAGAAGTTAACTTGCAGGCTTGAAAGTCTCTCAAGTGTGGCGAGATCTCTGGTGTAGCGTGTAAAGAAATGTTGAAGTGTGCATAGTAAATATGAAAGTCTCTCAAGTGTGGCGAGATCTCTGGTTTAGCGTATAAAGAAATGTTGAAGTGTGCATAGTAAATGCAAAACACCCCTGTGTGCCACCCGCTTCATCTCTTGTCAGCTCTTTGGGAAGAAGGCTTGGATTTTTTTTTTTTTTTTTTTTTGCCCTCCGTTTGGCATTGCTTGTATTGGAAGGT